TACCTTTTTCTTTCCTCCTATCCCATCCTTCCAGCCCTAGCCCTCAGCTTTATCTTGCTCCTCCAACCCTCAGGTGGACTAGGCTGTCTGGAAAAAGTCTAACTTCTCTCCCTGCTCTTTCTCCTCACTGCCCTCCTCCCCAGACCGAGGCATCATCATGACCTTTGGCAGTGGCAGCAATGGGTGCTTAGGCCATGGCAGCCTCACTGACATCAGCCAGGTGGGTATCACATGTATTGTAGAGATAGGGAAGTGGGGGCATGGCAGGGAGCCCACATCTGAGAGTTAACATCAGGTTAGGGGCAGGGGCTTCCCCAGCAGCCACAGGTCCCTGTAGCTTCCCTGCTGCACCTGCTTTGGACCACAACAGGGGAAGTACAGAAAGACCACGCTTCCCTGTGGTTACCTACCTGGCAGCATGTGTGGCTGGAGTTAAAGGGACAGCCACCTCATGAGAATTCGTAGCCTCCAACTTCACCTCTACAGGGGATGCTGAGGCCAGGTGGCTAGTCCCAAGCCCCTTGCTCAGTCTCCCTTGCTGCTTCCCCTCTCTAGCCCACCATTGTGGAGGCCCTGCTTGGCTATGAGATGGTGCAGGTGGCCTGTGGGGCCTCTCATGTGCTGGCCCTGTCCACTGAGCGTGAACTATTTGCCTGGGGCCGTGGAGATGGTGGTAAGCTCCCTACCCTTGCTCCAGCCTTTAGGCTCCATCTCGCAGCATCCCCAGCCTTGATTTGTTCCCTTCATACTCACCTTCTACACTATGGCCCATCTTCCCTCTTTTCTCTCAAATCCTATTAATTCAATCACTCATTCATTCAACAAACCTTTATAGCTTGCTCACTATGTGCCCACCCTGTGGTGGGTACTGAGACAAGATGAATGAGATGTGGTTTCCTTCTGGTGCTTACGACATAATGAGGGAGATTTCATTCATCCAACAGTATTTACTGAAGTCTGTATTTAGAGAGGTCTGGGTCAGGCATCAGGTTGGACACTGATTCTAGAGATGACATGATGGGTTCCTGTCCTCCTGGAGGACAGGCTGGTGGGGGAGAGAGAACACATCCCTAGCATGCTAGAGAACAGACAGCACCAGGCCTGCATCCAAGGTTCAGAGGTGGGGAAATTCAAAGACAGCAGTGTCACCTGGAGGAGACAGAAATGGCATCTGAACAGGGCTCTAAAGGAACAGGAGGAGGACTTTGCCCAGCAGAGGGGCCTAGGAAAGGCATTTCTGACTGAGAGAGCAGTCGTCTCTCATGCTGTTCTCTCTTCTCTGTGGGCCTCCTCCTCCTGGCACTACCAGCCCTGAAGCTCAACTAACCCCATCCTGGTCTCTTCTTGTAGGCAGGCTGGGACTAGGTACCAGGGAGTCTCACAGCTGCCCCCAGCAGGTGCCCATGCCCTCTGGACAGGAAGCCCAGCGGGTTGTATGTGGCATCGACTGCTCCATGATCCTCACTGTGCCTGGCCGAGCCCTGGCCTGCGGGAGCAACAGGTGAATAGCTGCACCAGGATGACGAGCTGCCCCTTGCCTCCTTGGCTGCTAGCACTCCATCCGTCATTGCCAGCCTCCCACCAAGGCCCAGAACTGAGGGGGGCTGAGGGTGCTGCTCAGCAGGTTCAGCCCAAGGTGGGATCCGTCTCCTGGTGCACCAGCTCCTGCCCAGACAGGTGGGGACAAGGCAGCCTATACAAACTGTCAATTGGATGTGGCTTCTGGCTTTGCCCTCAGGTTCAATAAGCTGGGCCTGGACCACATCCCCCTGGGAGAGGAACCTGTCCCCCAGCAGCAAGTGGAGGAGGCTTTGAGCTTCACACCACTAGGCTCTGCTCCCCTAGACTGGGAGCCCCTGCTAAGTGTGGACCTGGGCACTGCTCATTCAGCTGCTGTGACTGGTGAGTAGGACCTGGGCACAGGGGACCAGAGGGGGACTCACCTGGCTTCCTTGGCACCTCTGTTGAGGCACCACCCTCTCTTCTTTCTTCTCCTGCAGCCTCGGGTGACTGCTACACTTTTGGCAGCAATCAGCATGGGCAGTTGGGCACCAGTGCCCGCCGGGGCAGCCGGGCACCCTGTCAGGTCCAAGGCCTCGAGGGCATCAAGATGGCGATGGTGGCCTGTGGGGATGCCTTCACTGTAGCCATTGGGGCAGGTGAGGAGTGGGCACAGTGGGGGCAGACAGGGGCATGGCCAGTAGGGTTTATCATGCTCATTGTCACCTACTGGGGCCAGTCTGGCAGTTTGGAGGATCACTGCCTGCTCTGCGCCCCTCCCACTTCCCTCCTTGGGATTCTCTCTGGCAGAGGGTGAAGTGTACTCTTGGGGCAAAGGTGCCCGAGGTCGACTGGGAAGGAGGGATGAGGATGCTGGACTCCCTCGGCCAGTGCAGCTGGATGAGACACACCCTTACACAGTGACTTCTGTGTCCTGTTGCCATGGAAACACTCTCCTGGCTGTTCGCCGTGAGTTAGAACTTTTCCCACCTCACCCACACAAAGGTTAACCCCAACTGGCCCCTGCTCACACTCCCATCCCCAGTGGTCACATCCCAAATCACCAAAAGCATCTTCAGCCCCCAGATAAATGAAAGCAGAAGCTGTGGGGTAAAATTCTGAACTTCCTACCTGGGGTGGGCAAGGGCATGTGCTTCTGGGACCTCACAGAAGGGCTGCCCCACTACTCCCCAGGGCTCACGTGTTCTTTCTCCTCCTACTCCCTGAGGCCAGTTCACTTTGAACTGTTGTGAGGCTGCTGCATGGAAAAGGGAACCAGAATACCCAACTGAGAATTTAAAAGGAGGTTTTTATTGGCCAGCTGGTGGCTGTTCCTCCAAGGAGGTCTTGGAAGGAAGCAGCCCTGACTTGAAATTTAGGCAGTTTTTTAAAAGGCACATTTTACATTAGTCACACAGTTAAAATTATCAAATAGTCACACACTTATAGTTATATAGTCACATACATACACACATACCCTCCTGGCATGAGGAGGGGGTTTGGGGAAGCCTAGCGCAAGCTGATAACAAAAGCTGAAACAAGGCAGTTAATTGCTCAAGGGCCACTTGGGTGGGGAACATCAAACAAAATTTAAACTTCTCTAAGTGCAGGCTAATATTTAGCTTTTAACTCCTATTAAGGGGGGGCTAAAGAGCCAAGGGGGATTTTTAAACAATAACATTTTTTAAGCAATTCAAACACTTTTTAAACTTAAGTAATCTACCTAGTCACATAGCAAGAAGTTTCACAGAAGCGAATTGTGTATGTTATGAAAGTGGGGTTCTCCCTATCTCAGAACCTTCATTTCTGGCCTGGCAGGGTCCAGCATCCAGGGCCTGTGGGAGTGGAGGTGGGTAGCACTTGCTGGAGGCACTGCCCTCTGGGAAGCTGCCCGGGGTTCTCTTTGATATTTTACAGCCATCACAGATGAGCCAGCCCCACCCTGAGGCACCTGGACACACCTCTGGACCACCCTAACTGGACCACCACCTCTGACTGGTCTGAAAAGTGCAGGTTCCTGAGGCATGACTGTCCCCACCAGCCATCAGTGGGGTATAAGGGCCATTGAAGCCCCTGCTCTGCTTTTGGCCCAGGATTTGGAAACCTCAACCCCACTCTGTTTTGCCCAACACCTCTTTTCCTTCTTACCCACTGTTCCCTTAAGTCTGTGTCCCTAGGGTCCAGCCTGGCCGGAGGTGGAAGCCAGACCTAGCCTTTGGAAGCATGGTGGTCTCTAGAGCCTTGGCAAAAGGCTGGAGGCAGCTGTGGCTCCACTCAGACGCTGCCCTTTCCCCCAGCCCTGTTAGAAAATAAGTCCCTGGTGCCCACTAGGAGACCACCTCCATGCTTTGGAGCAGGCAAGTCGGGGCCTGCCTGGACTGGCCATTAGGCTGCCTAGCCTCTGCATGGCCTGGGGCAGGGAGCTCCTAGGGACTGCTAACACCCGCCCCCACACCTTTGTCCTGGGGCAGGGGTTTGCACAGCCTCTGCTTGCCTCCCTTCAGAAGGAAGTGCAGAAGCCATAAAGTGCCTACTGCAGAGAAGATCCAGGCCGAAGGTTGCCCTCTCCCCATAACCAGGTTGGGGGAAGGGGTAGCTGGTCGGATCAGCTCAGTTTCCCAAAGGACTGGAATTAGTGCCAATAAAAATACCAGCTGCCTGCCTGGACTGTGGTGTCTTCAGGGGTGGGAGTGGCGGTCTGACACCTCAGGACTGGGCTGGGCGGCCCGACCTCGGTTGCAGGGCCGCGGCCGAGGGAAGAATGTGGGCGCAGCCGGAGGCTGGGGCTGAGGTTCCTCTGGCCCAGCGCCCAGCCCGGCCCCTCGCCCCAGCCAGGCTCCCCGGATCTGGTTGCCAGGCTTTGGCTGCCTAGCACCTGGAAGCTGAGGCCCCAGGTCCCAGAGGAGCGCGTGGCCCCCGAGACCGAGACTTGACTGAGGAGAAACAAACGTCTGTGGCGCGGCCAGTCCGCTTTTACGACGCGCACTCCCCCGGGGCCCCTCTCCCTGTCCCAGCCAGCCCCCAGCTCTGGGGAGAAGCGGAGCCCCGATCTCTCTCCCCAAGGGGAAAGAGATGCCCCTGCTTCCGGGAGTGGGCGAGTCTGACTCACTTTCCTAGGCCGGGGCGAGTCTGGCCGCACCCGGACCCCAAGCCATGAGCTGGCTGGGTGGGCGGGCGGGCACTAGGACCGGGCGGCCGCGGCTCC